CAAGCTATGAACCATATATGGAGAAATTCGAACGCTTCACTTCTATCTGAAGTTTGTGCTGATGATGTCATTCAGAAGAACGATGAAAGCTTCACGAACAAACCATCCAGCTCAGAGAACAAAATTCTATCCAAATCATCCACCTGAGCTAAAAATCTTCATTCAAACTTGATATTCGCTTAAATAACACAAAGTAATCGCTTTATTTTTCTAAATTATCCCCTACATTAAAAGACTAATCCAATTTTTTTCCCTTTATGGAACTAAAATACTATTTACATTGATTATAAAGTTGAATAAACCATTTTACTAAGTTAACTGTAATTTATTGATTTAATGACTATTATAATTTTATCTTCACTTATTTAATTTATTTGTAAATTTTCTTTTAAAAAAAAAGTTGGCTATTTCTTCTATTCTATTTTTAAATGAACTATAGGTGCTATTCAACTTGCATCAAGTGTAAATCGTTCAATGGTTCAAATTGGCGGTTGAACAAATTTCAATAATCCTATCAATTTATATAGATGAATTTTGAATTAGGATAGAATAACTTATTATGTAAATATATTTAAATAAATATTGATTGAATAATTATACACTTTTATTTTTGATGTTGTATGTTTTCATGTAAAACTATATGTATGTGTTGTTACTTAAGAATAATATAAGTTAATGGTAGTCTTAATATAGTTAAGTCATATCTTGATAGGAACTTATAATTCAATTGGTCATTAATTTTAGTTATGTGGACAAATGTAAATTTATTGGATAAGACATTTTAGATATTTGAAGTTGTTAGTAGAAAATTATTTATTTGATTGAGATCATGAACCGATTGATGTTAGACCACCACCTTTGGAAATCTGGAAGCACTGGACGGCCGTTTCGTCCTATTGTTATTAAGTTTTTGATTGAGATCATAAACCGATCTCAATCAAGATTTTAATAATCTCCACAACCCCTATACTAGTAATTATTTATTTATCAACTGAATTAGATGTAATTTTTATAAGTCACATGTTGCATTGATATTTCATGTTGAGTCAGTATATGAATAGGGTATGAGATAACTATCTGTTCAGTCATAGACTAGGATTCATGTTGATACGATTTAGATTAGTTTGACTACGTAGAAATACAAATCGTATTATAGATATTATTTGATTTAGTTTAATTAATTTGACCAAATACTATATTTATTAAATTCATTTTGTATTGTTTGTTTAAATCATCTCATTGATATTTAGGACTGCGATTGACCAGTCTCTTATTGGTATATGTGCATCCGGTGCGAATTGTCTCGATATCCCCTTAAGTCACAAGCATTATAAGCAAAGATGTATGGTGGCTAGCAGTGGAATCCAGGCAATATTGTGACAATCCTAACAGGATACACATATGCCAATAAGAGACTGATCAATCACAGTCCTAAACATCAATAGGGAGATTCGAACAAATAATATAAAATGTATTTAAACTTCACCGCATTGCACAAGCAAGTGGCTACTAGTATTCAATAGCTAATTGGATAACGCGATGGCGTTTGAAGCGAATGGCACTAAGTTCAAGTCAAAGAGTGAACATCAATTCTAGGATTCAGGTTTATCCAGCTAATGAATCCAAGATAGGAAGGAACGAACGTCCTTGATTCCTATGCCAGCCATCATGCATTTATGCTTACTATGATTATTATTTATCATGTTTGTATGAGCGAAATTATAACTTTTGGTTACTCATATCATTCTATCATGTTCATGTTTTAATTTTTTCATTTACTAATTAATTATTGATGACGTTCGACTATGTTAAACTCAATTACCTATTTTGACAAGAATTGAACTTCTGTCATTTTTAAAACGATTTTTCTGTTGAATATGGTAGTTGTAATTGATAAATCTGTATGATGAATAATGGTCATCAGAATTCACTAAAAGACTAATTGTCAACTTTTAAAGTAGGGATAAAATGTAGGTTGATTGATAAATGATGACCGATATGATATTTGTTTAGTCGTTTAGTGATGATCAAATTCCAACGATCAAGTTACAGTGTGGCTACTAGTCTAAGTGAATCGACAAGGTGTGAACTATTTGGAGATATTAATCGGTTTGAAGTTATCAATAGGGAAACGTTGGACCTAGTATTCGTGCCATTTGGCGCTCGTCAACAAGGTTTAGGTGTGATTTTGAAGGAACTGATGCTTTCTGTTAGTGTTGAACCCACATCATTTAGCTTCACATTTAGAAACGCTATTATTAATCTATTCAGGCAGCGACTGACCTCATGTAGAACCTGGACATTCACAATTAACTAATCATTGAGTAATCACCAGTATCATACTTATCTGACCCTTTTTGTCTGTCGAATTCTATGGATTAAAATGTATGTTACACATGAATTTACATTTGTGAGCAATTTTATTTACTTAAATAAGCCAAATGAATGTGAAAGATTAGGAGAATCCAAAATGAAATGAACTCTCTTCATCTCACTATGTTTACAGTTATCAGTTTATTATTTAACAAAGAATTCTAGAACTACCTTATGGTTACAATGAAGTAAATTCTTGAGTGAATGTGTAAAAAATCTTATGATTTTTTAAACAGTTATTAAAGTTTTGGGAGTTACTACTAATAATAATTAAGTGATTGACCTGATCGAATAGTTTTGGAAATATAGACTACTTGTGTAGATGTGTCAATTTTAATCACTTTATAATTTGACAGTATTGCTTAGAATCCGTCTGAATAAGGTAAATGGTTCAACTCTTTATTTTCTATTAAATTTCAGGTTACAGTAATCCTTTATGCATACTTTACGTTACTAATTTTCAAAATCTGTTGCCAGTGTCCAATTTTTCTCATCATTACTACTATATAGTTTAGATTTCTTCGCTATTCATCTTGTGTATGGAGGACAGCTGACAGATGCATTCCAAGTAAGGACCGGAGTCAGACAAAGCTGTCTACTCTCCCCCTCCCCATTTCTCCTAGTAGTTGACTGGAATATGAAGACCTTGATATCTGAGGGAAAGCATGGAATACAATGGACAGCTCAGAATCAATTAGACGATTCGAACTTGGCAGATAACCTACTCTTTATATCCCATACACACTAACAAATTCAGATGAAGACAACTAGTGTAGCAGCCACCTCTGCATCAGTAGGCCTCAACATACACAAAGGAAAAGGCAAGATTCTCAAATACAGAACATCAACCCAATCACACTTGATGGAGAATCCCTGGAAGAGGTGAAATCTTGCACATACCTGGGAAGCATCGTCGATGAACCAGGAAGATCTCATGCAGACGTAAAGCTAGGGCCTCATTCTTACACTGAAGAACATATGGAACTGAAAACAACTGTCAACCAATATCAAAGTCACAATCTCCAATACGAACATCAAGACAGTCCTAATGTACGGAGTTGAAACATGCAGAACTACTACAATCATCATCAAGAAGGTACAATTATTTATAAGTAGTTGTCTATGTACGATACTGAACATCCATTGGCCGGATACCATGAGCAACAGCCTCCCAGCTGAAGAGGAAATTAGGAAAAGACTATGGAAATGAATAGGACATACATTACGAAAATCACCAAACTGCATCACGAGGCAAGCCCTAACTTGGAATCCTGAAGGGAAGCGGAAAAGAGGAAGGCCAAAGAACACATTACGTCTAGAAATAGAAGCAGACATGAAAAGGATGAATAACAACTGGAAAGAGCTGGAAAGGATAGCCCAGAACAGGTTTGTATCAAAGATGCTAGTGAGCGGCCTATGTTCCTTCACAAGGAGTAACAGGCATAAACATCTTGTCATATTAATATAGTTTGATAACTTGAATCAAATCATATTAATCCCCATTCTGTACAATAATTTATAACTGACTAAATCATTGTTACGTTTCAATTGATAACTAATCTAATCATCGTTTTTCTTTGGATTATCAGAATTAGACAATGAATAATATTAAATTACCATAGATTATGAATTTATCACAATTTATTATGAAAATAAACAAGAAATAAAAAATAAAAAAAACAAATCAAGTAAATGTATCAATAATTCAATAGTGATTATTTATTCACAAATAGTGATGCTAGGGGGGGGAGTAGATGGTTACTAATTATAAAAAAATATACATAAATTATATTGAAAATTTATTCATTTACAAAGCCAAATCAAAGTCAAATGTTAATTCTTTCTTTTTTGTGTGTGTATGTTTTATTTTCAATAATGAATAGTACTTTAATAAATGAAATACTCTTATTTTGTATATTTGTTATCGAAGAGATGAATTATATACAGATTATAGTGAATGATTCATGTGGAAACATATTCATAATGAAATTAAACGAAAGTAGATCTCAGAATAGTAATATTTCTCGAGGTTACTTACTTACTTACGCCTGTTACTCCTCGTGAAGGAACATAGGGCGCTCACCAGCATTCTCCATCCAACCATGTCCTGGGCAATCCTTTCTAGCTCCGTCCAGTTGTAATTCATCCTCTTCATATCTGCTTCTATTATCCGACGCAATGTATTGCATAATCAAAGCAATGTAGACCAGTGTGTTCCAAGTCACTGTTCTATAGGTAACCTTCCTGCAATCAGGTCAGCGGGTTCTAACTTCGATAACTAAAGAAGTCATAGGTGCTCTATGCTACGAAGTGCTATACTACAATGAAACGACTGTTAACTGTTGCTTAATTTTTAACCTATGGTGATAACCATCTTCAAAACAGAAACTATGTCCATTTAACTAACTTTTATCAAAGCAGTTAGTAGATTTTCATTCAATATTTCTTTACATTTCGAATATGATAAGATTTTCAATGCTTTTGAATATTTAAGGGACTATTCTTTGTTGTTTTTAGAAAATTTAAATCGTTTCTCTTACATAATCATCAATTTTATCACACGGAACCACAGAAAACTTCGTGTAATCAGTATAGACATATATACTTTTCTTTTCTAACGCATAAATATGAGTCATCACACTTTGATCAATTGTTTTAAACGTGCAATTGAACCAAATTTTTCAAACAGTCTAAAGAAATCATCAACACGATCAAGTATGACAACAGAACAGCAAAATCCAGTGAGCTACTTTTTCCCTTTAATTATAATGAAATCAGTAAAAGGAAATCCCCACTAATAATTAATTATCAATAGTTGAAGTCATGAGTCAATTGAAGCTAGACCACCATGGAAAACCTAGGGGCACTGGACAGCTGTTACGTCCCAGTGTGGGACTCCTCAACAGTGTGCATCCACGATCCCGCCCTCCTCGAGATTCGAACCCAGGACCTATCAGTCTCGCGCGCGAGCGCTTAACCAGGAAACGGTCATCCAGTGCTTCCAGGTTTTCCATTGTGGTCTAGCATCAATTGATTCATGAATTCAACTATTAAATTACTAAAATCTCCACAAAACCCTCTTCTAATAATTCTGTTATGACCTTGAATCGCTTTTACCTCGTCGATACTTTGTTATGACTTGACCTTGATTTGTCAAGTCTAGATTATGACCTTGGCGCAATAGACTGTGCAGCTTAACCTTGAGGCTAATACGCGTGAGTTCGAGATGGGGTAGAGAGAGAACTATTCTAGAACCTGATCGGTTGGCAAGCACGCAAGTGAGAGAAGGCAAGACAGTTGGAACACTCTGAATTATGAATTAGTGCAAAAATGTACATGAATAAATAAGTGAATATCCTGACCACAACGTACGATAACTTGGAAAAATACAACTATGCCCGAAACTGGGAATTAGGGTAGAAAATAAGATGCAAAATATTATGTTTAAATTACAATATTTTCGGAACAAAAAAGGTATGGCAGTGAATGATACATAGAACGAAAGCTCATGTTATGTAGAATAAAATAGGGACAAAAATAAATATAAGTGTTTTACAAAGTTTGAATGAAATGAAATAATGTCCCAAGAAAATAGCTTTCGTAGTTGTCTGGGCTTCTTATTTCCCTGTTCACAACAAATTCTAATTTATTTAGTTATATATGGTTTATGGAAATTATTCCACTGACTGAGATAATATAAGATAGAATGATAATTAAAATAACTCATTATGTCATTGAATGAAAATAAAGAGAATTCAGCGAAAAAAATTTCCTTCTCGACAAAACCATTTACTTAAGTTATAGTTATATGGAAAATATATGTCTATAGAAGGATAGAAAAGATTACACCATAAATTGATTCAAAACTCTTGTTACCAAATGAGGTTATGCAATAATCAACGGATAAGGAAGGATTATGAAGGATGAAGATAATTTACGGGTCAGATAATTGTCCAATTGACAGATATGAAGAAGAACGACAAAAGGTCATAATAATAATATAATTATTTTGATGGAGTTTTGTTCTCTGCGCTCAGAGAACAAAACTCCAAAATCATCCACTAGAGCTACAAATCTCCACCATCTCACTATAACTATAAATACGAATGTACAACTTAAGTAAATGATTTCATCGAAAAGAAAATTTTCTTCGCTGAATACCTGTATTTCTATTCAATACGATAGAATGATTTAACTGACTACAAAACTTGTCGAGGTAAGATGGTTGGAGGTAGTCAACAAGAAGCCCTGGACCTAGGTTTCATGCTACTTGGCACTCGTCAACAAGGCGTACCTATACCTAACTACCTCCAACCATCATCTTATCTCAACAAAGTGTACGCAGTACCGAGCCACCAAGACTGGTGTCCACATTGCAATCAGGTCGATGGGATTCGATCTGCACTAAGAAGGACCTGACATACATGACATTGATCACCATCCAGTGATCAATCACTTATATGTCAAAGAACTACAAGCATCATTTAATATAGTTTACCAAATATCTACGAGATGATGGCATTAAAAACTCATACAATAAGCTGTTCACTAACAATATAATAGATTATGCTATAGGTCAGAGAGTCTACATTTTATCAAGCATATTTCAGTTATGTCTTATCATTAATGTGTAAAACAACAGGAAGTGATGACTGAAGTTAAGGATACCCATGTTTAATATATAATTCGACTAGTTATAAAAATAACTTAGCCCTAACAGTCCATACTACTCGATCGAAAGAAAAATAGTAGATTTTAGCCGGAGAACCTGGACCTCAATTTATTTGATTGTTGACACTTGTCAGAGAACTGCAGCAGCGAATTTTAGAATACTAATGGTCCCTATGAACTTTAAGCTCACATCACCGACTGCAGCCGTCTAAGCTTTGATTAAGATTCTGTAGAATTGAGATGTTTCGACTGGTTAATCGATGAATAGTGATTAATATTGGTTTATTCTGTAGTGCTGATCAAAAACAGCAGATTGTCATCAGCCAGAGAGTTCACAGAATATCGGATCAATTAGACTAGTAGACATTTTAGTAAAATTTGATTAGTAGCAAAAAATTAGAAAAGCAATATATTAATTACTTCTCAGCGACCAGGCAATGTACATATTTGCTACCTCTGATAACAAATATATTTACATTGCCTAGGTTTTGATATTCCATCAATACCATTGTATAATCGTCCTATGAATATTTATTTTGAAAGCCTCTACAGAGATAAGTAAAAGTAGATTTGAGGAATTTTCAGCTTGTTAAAGTGATTTCATAGGACAGTTATATGAATGTTTTGGTCTGTTTTTTTCTGGTTAGCGTTTATAGCAAGGTTGTTTTCTATGGAACGGGGATTGCTGACCCCATGTCCAACTCTCCTTCATTATACGGGGTTGGGACCAGTACTAACCCTAAACGGGCTACAGCTGGAGTAATGACCGTAAAGTCAAGTAATTACATGATACACGCTATTTCAGTAAATAGATTTGAACCATGATTTTAGATACAACACTGCATCAAGGAACAATAATCATCATATATAAACTAACTTAACTTGGAGATTGTCTTTTTTGTATCGCATAATGTACGAATCATTGCAAGTACACTGAATGAAACGTATTCACTGATTTAAAATTGAGTTACGCTTTTGTTTGATAATCAAAAGAATTTCAGTCGATTCCATGTATCTGTAATGCCGCATGAAGAAGAATCTATGCTAAGAGCTCGAAAAGATCAAGGTTTTATTTTGATTAGTTTACTGTTCACATGGTACTGTTTAATCAAGTGAATTCAATCGGTACTGAAAACCCAAAACAATACCATGTTCACTATTTGAAAAATAAAAGCTTAAATCATTTCGAACCTACAAGTACATAGTGATTATTCAATAGAGAACCATTATGAACATTTGGAAAGTTATTCGTTACATGTAACAGGAAATTATTTACATTCAAACAACATTTTCCCATATTTTTTATTTTATTCACAGTATGAGATTCATTCAGCTGATAGATAGTTTGAACTATTTTCATTTTAATAACTGAATTCATGAGTCAATATAAACTAGACCATAACTGAAAACCTGGAAGCACTAGATAGTCGTTTCAATTTATTTTTTATATATTTCAAATGATATCGGTGATATCCTGGGTTCGAATCCCTCGGGGTCTTGGATGCGCACTGCTGAGGAGCCCCACAATAGAACGAAACGGCTATCCGGCGCTTCCAGGGTTTCTATGATGGCCTAGCTTCAATTGACTCATGACCTCAACCATTAAAACTAATAAATAAAAATTTAATTTTCTTAACATTTCAGATTGAAATTGGCGATGTAATAACTCGTTCACCAAAAATGATTGATATTACATCTAAAATTGTAAAACAATTCAATGGAAATAATCATAAACAAAATAGTATGATAACAATTAGATCAGCAAAAGCAGAAGTATTTATATGTATTGATGATTATATAAAGCAATTTATCCATAATCAATATATGATTACAGATACTAATTCAGATAAGATTATTCATGATAATAATGAAAATAATATTGATGATAATAATCATACAGATGAATTATATGAACTTTTAACACCAAAAGGTGATGTATTTACAGTGGCACGTCTAGCTGGAATACAAGCTGCCAAACAAACTTCTAATATTATACCATTATGTCATCAAGTAAGTTATTGAATTAGTTGTTTTAATAAATAAATAAAGTTTTAAATTTGCAATTGTTTAGAATGAGTTACTTACTTACTTACTTACGCCTGTTACTCCTAATGGAGCATAGGCCGCTGACCAGCATTCTCCAACCCACTCTGTCCTGGGCCTTCTTTTCTAATTCCATCCAGTCCTTGTTCATTTTTCTCACATCTATCTCCGTTTCCTGGAGTAATGTGTTCTTTGGTCTTCCTCTTTTCCTTTGGCCTTGAGGATTCCATGTGAGGGCATGTCTTGTGACGCAGTTGGGTGCTTTCCTCAATGTGTGTCCTATCCACTTCCAGCGCTTCTTCCTGATTTCTTCCTCCACTGGGATCTGGTTTGTTCTTTTCCACAGTAGGTTGTTGCTAATAGTGTCCGTCCAGCGGATCCGAAGTATTTTGCGTAGACAACTGTTAATAAACAGATGTATCTTCTGGATGATGGCTTTCGTAGTTCTCCAGGTTTCCGCTCCATACAGTAGAACAGCAGCAACCTTCTATACGTCAAATGCATGTGCTTTGGCTCCTACATATAAACTAGTAGATAGTGTGTGAGTTGGATTGACTATTTCATACTGATTTATTTGAAAGCCTGACTTCTGGAGTATTTACCAGGTTTTTCCGATGTATGGATTGGATATATTGCAAGTCGAATTTATTTCCGACACCATGGATGCGTATTGATATAATGAGAGAAGTGACGTTGATTGAGATTAATGGATGCGACAGTAAGTGAAGGATTAGCTTTATGTAATCGCTAAAACCTATCTTGTGAATGATAGCGAACTTATCGTACATTTCAAATGCATTTTTTGATCTTTGTAGTAGGGAGTTAAGTGAATTATGTTGATTTTGAAACATGTATTAGTGATTTTAGCAGTGTACTGCATGTATTTTGAAGGTATGCGTTTTATAAGATTGTTCTGATGGTATACTAACCATATAAAATTCTCTCAGTGAATTCATGGAGATGAGCATTAATGCGAATAGTGAGTAAACCTTCTTTGAAGTTGTTAGGTATGCAGAGGAAAAATATACCAATAATTATCGTGTTAAGTCTATGGTGGCCTTGAACCTTAAATGTACATTTCCTATTGGTCGATGCTTATTTCACTTGTTAAATATTGTGTAAATGTTGTTTTCTATTTTTATGGTACGATGTTTGTGCGTCTTTGGTCCGATCAATAATTCTCTACCCTCTAATCTGCCGTCACAGTTATAGCAGTAGATGAGAGTATTATGATAAATCTGAGCTGTGTAAATACAATTCTTTTCACTTTAATGATATGATTAGGCCTAACGGTCAGGTCTTAATTGATGGGCGAATGAATAATTTACAAATTACTTTCCTCCAATCGCCTAAAATATTTTATCATGTTCAATGTTCATAATTTTTATGTAAGCATGTTACTTTATACATGGAAAAATCATTCGTCTGGTTAGTGGTCTATTCTTGATTGCTAATTATTCGGAAGCCAAAGTCAATCATACGGTCTCATGACTAACCATTACTCAGTCAAATTATATCATTGAGTTCATCTATTGATTCATATTACATCCATCCCCTTTAACAAACAAAATTTCGCCTCACACGAATACGCACTCCATAACAGTAGCGACGGGGATGCGACTTATTTTCACCAACCTTGTGTCTAGTTGATTTGAATTCAAAATAATTCAAACTTCCTTGTTCTTTGCACCGAGATTTCCGTCGCTAACTGATACGTTCTTGCACCGTATCAATAATTCGCGACTCCAACTTCCATACAGTGATCTTGAGTGCTGTTGGATGTATGAGAGCGGTTATCACATCCCGGTTGCCCACACGGTAGAAGGATTCTTCCAGAGGTACCTGAAAAGAAAGTCGGGTTAGAGGTGATCTTAGTGACCTGAGAGCGTGACTACAGTGCCCTAAGGACAACTGCTTGAGGCCGGTCACACACGACCTTTTTGTGAGTAGTTTTCGTGTAAACTCCATGAATGTTGGGACCTTACCGCCGGAGACGGATATTCGTGGGATAAGGCGAGGTGTGCATTTATCGGGTCAAACTTTTCTAACTCCACGCTTCCTTGTGGGAGGGCAGCATTTCTGTTATGTTGGTTGTTTGAGAGAAACACCTTAATGCCGTCACGCATTTACCGGAGCATGGAAAAGGAGAGGATAGACTAGTTCCGCTCACGGTATTAAAATCGGAGTCGCGAATTATTTGCAGAGTGTATGAAAGTATCACTCGGACACTTGATTTACAAGTATAATTTCTCTGTCAAGCATGCTATGTGTAGCGTGAATAGATTTAACATACCTTTTTTGGTTGGAAGAATAAACAGATTAAGTCTAACTATACAGTCATAAGAATCTTGATAGTTATAGATACAACTAAGGGAATAAACAGAGACTTACACTTGGGTATTACTTGTGATTGAAGCTAATCACTTATCTTTAAAATAAACCACTAATAAAGGATATGGATTGACACAGGATGCATTCGACTGACATTTTAAAAGATAATTCGAAGAAATTATCAGCACAGTAATTGTACTAAATATGCTTATTGTATGCTTTTTCATGTATACTGCTTTTATTCTCTATTCTAGGTGCCCTTATCACATATTTCAGTCGATATTGGTTACAGATTAGGTAAAATTCATATACAATCACAAGTAAAAGCAGTTGGTCAGTCTACCGGTGTAGAAATGGAAGCATTAACAGCTGTTTCTGTTGCTGCATTAACAGTTTATGATATGCTAAAACCGTTACAAAAAGGACCAATTATTATTGAAAAAATTGAACTATTAGAAAAACTTGGTGGGTCGAAAGGCTCCTACTTAAAACTTGGTGCATCGAAGTAAAGAAAAGAATTTAATTATTCAGCTTTGCTTAGAATTCGATTATGTCTACAGTATTTTGCAGACTTTGATTTCTTTATTACGATATGTTGTCAAAATAGTTCAACTGTTAAGAGCATTTTCAAAGTTTGTTTCACAGACAATATGAATGGGAAACGTAATCTGACTATAGATGAAGCACCATTAATTACGGTCTGTATTTAGACAACTAATTTAACTGAAAAATGGTTAGGTATCGAGTTCAACGTCTGAAAACAAATAGTGGCAAGTTTTTAACGGCTTCTTTTATGAATGATAGTGAGTTCTAAAGCAGATTTATGGAGTCTTGTCATGTACCATAGTTGAGGATAAATTTTCTAAGTTCATTAAATTTTAATGAGATGTACTGAGTTACCTTATACTCTTCTGGTTCCCAAGAGCAAACCTTGTTTCACAGTGGTGTAAGTAGAATCAATGATCTAGTGGTGAGTGGGCTCGTTATAGCATACGGTGCGCATACATCTATCAGACTGAGATCACTCGTAAAACATGTCATCTGAGACTACATGAATTTTGACTAATAATAGTACAACTTGGAAATAATGAGAATCACAGGATCAGGGTTCATCATTAAAAGAATAAATCATATAAGATATGTGGCACTGAAGCTTTTTATATAGATCAAAATACAGTAATATTTTAATAGAGAAAAAAAATTACCAGTGTACTGAGAGATTATGTCACTGCTGAAATTTTCCATCTTAGAAGAATTATGTGAAGCAGAACTATCCAGACTCTAATAGCTAACTATTCTTATCATGTGTTTGTTGGAGACATCCGTTGTGTAAAAGCAGGTAAGCAGACGGAGACGATTAGAAGAGTTGTAACATTTTATCCGCACTTAAGAACAACTAAATATCAACTAAGTGACCAGAACATCGAACAACCATAACTGTTATTGTTAAAACAATAACTGATGCAGACCATTGATGGGGAGTTATTTCGAATTTAGAAGAACAAGAAAACCATCCAAACTCATTTTCTTAAATTATTCAGAAGACTGCTTCATCAATAGGCTTGCTTGGAGTTCCGCTACACATATCGTCGTACAGAAACTTGCGCCGTGCTTTATGTTGATAATACCTGTCTGTCTACACATACAGTAAGGTAAAAAGCAGAATAATCGGAGGTTGGAAAATGAAAACATTTGAGACAGATGCTTTTTGTTTTTTATTATTGTTCAACTAAGAGGAAAAAAAATGAATGTTGCACGATTCCCCCCAGTATGATTAATGGTGTATTACATTTCATAATGTAACATGCTTTGTTAGCATTCTAAATCAATGAGAGGAACAACTGCTCTTCGTCAAGCAAATAAAATATCCTTCTCAAATCACAAAATTACAGAGCATCTCACTAAAATATGAGAACCATATAGTAAATCGTTAATTTGCAAAATATCAATCCATCATCTCAAACTTGACTGTTCCTGTTGCAAACATCAATCCATTGTCTCAGGTTTCATTGCTCCTGCATTTTCATACCAATTGCGTTCCGTTGCCGTTCTTTCCTCATCGACATTCAACTGAAATACATTCTATGTCTGAACACCGTTATATACTACTTGTGTGGATATAAGTAACCCACACCACACTAGTCCCCCCTTTAAAGCATTCGTCCCGCCAGACCACTCCACTCGACGTCGACTCTCCGCACCAAACTATCCCAACTAACACACCAACTTCAGGCCCACAACGGTGTCCGCAGAACAGTACCCTTTCCCTTCTGGTTGGCAGCGACATCAAATGTAGTGAACAAAACACCAGTGGGGACAATCGAATGTATTTGACAGAAAATTACAGAACTTCTTAATAAAATCTAACAGTCGTGTAGTAAATGCCTAATTTGCAAAGTGTCAATCAATTGTCTCAAAACGACTCAGACTTCATTGTTCTTGCATTCTCATACAAACTGCATTCTGTTTCCATTCTTTACTGTCCGATCCTCTTGTCTGTCCGCTGCCAGACCTTCTGTTCACGACTAACGTCATATACTACTTATGTCGATATAAGTAACACACACCACACTCCAATCAGTAACAACGTAGAACTTCGTACGTACGTACATCAGTTCGAGTTACCATACCACACTAGCACACAAATGTAATTGTCGATTCAAAATCCCGTAGCTGTATTGGTAGTTAAAATATAAGCAATAATCGGAATGATCAGGATTTGAAGATGTTATTCAAAGAGTGTAATCCAGTGAAATAAATTGGGAAATAGAAGGGACATGAAGAATTCAGATCAAGATTTAGGAGAACACAAAGAGTGGATTCACCTGCGCCATTGCAAACGATTTTGAGCCATGTCATCCAAGGTCTCTAACCATCGGTTGCTATTGTCGCTCGGATCCCAACCACGTAGTCTACACCTACCAACATAACTCAGTCCACTTGTCAGTGACTTCATGGACTTGTGCCATGTTTTGGTCTGCCCCTCCCTAACGTTCTCTCAAACTTCTCCTACACTATAAAACATCGCTCGTTGGTGGTTGAGCATACGTAACACGTGTCCCAGCCATCTCAACTGATGAAGTTTCACTACTTCATCAATTAATTTGCCATCCTTACCTAGTACCCGTTTCCTAACAACCGTATTACTTACTCGGTGGTCCCAGGATGTATGAGCAATGCTTCGAAGACATCTATGATCGAATACTAGTAACCTACGAACATCCTCTACTCTTACCGGCCATGTTTCACAGCCATAAATTATGACGGCACGAACTGCTGCGCAGTAAACACGTCCTTTGGTTGGTAGACGGATATCTAGCCTACACACCACACTACCATATAGATTTGTCAAAATACATATCTAACAAACAATCAAAAACAGGAATTAATTGTAAATTATCATACATTTATTTATTTTTCTATATGTAAACGTATATGAGAATAATTGTGAGAATGAAATTAGAATGTTTTATTACAAAGAAGTCTTGATCACACAAATACTTCAGTTGACTCTAATACACATTATATACAAATGGTTAGGAAATTAAAGTATTTCGTACACCACTATGCAGTTAACAATGATTGATTATAGAAAAGCTTATTTTGGTTTAACTCCGGAAAAAACTGTCGGAGAAGCATACCATCGTAGTTCAGATGGTGATTCATACAAAACTTTGTGTAATTCTTTGGGATTATAAGAATCTGTAGAATCAGGAACAATTTTCAATACATGAACAGGACAAGTCCGAGGTAAACGAAATTGTAATCGAGGTAGAAACCATGAAGATGAAAAATCTTTTGATGTACATATATATATGTAAGTACGTGTAGGAGTAGAACACTTAAAAACATTATCAAAAAACGGAACCTGTACAAGAGATTCGAAAAATTCTCTGAAAGAAACATCTGTTTTATCGGCATTTGTAGTTTTAGGATAGAAATCATTGATATCTATGAGAAATGCTCGTTTTGGATTACTTGGTAGACCACCAATCATAATCAGGAAATAAAGAATAGATTCTGATTTCGATGATAACAGATTAGATTCAACCTCATGAATTGATTGTAAAAGTTTTACTTCCTTTGAGTGTAAATTATCCTGCTCGTAGGTAGAAAATAATAATAGTCAGTAAGGGATTGTGAAGAATGTTGAATTTTATTTAAAGCATAAGCCGATGAATGTTAGACCATCAATGGAAATCTAGAAGCACTGGGAGGCCGTTTCGTCCCGGTATGGGACTCCTCAACAGTGCGCATTCACGACACAGCACGCGGGATTCGGAACCCAGGACCTTCGACCTCACCCACTAACGACTAACCTCTCGACCACTAATCCGGCATCCGACGGTGTTAATGTCTAATTCCAACGAATCCACAATATTGCGCGACCATCTTCCATTGCGTTGGCGCACACCAATTGGCTAATTCTTATCCAATCCGCGTGCGCCAACGCAAGCGTGCATTTAGCATGATCTAATCCAATCTATGTCCCGCTAACAGTCTTCAGTGGGTAACTGCCTAACACCCAACACGGTTGAACTCCACTGGTTAAGGCTTCTCACTAGAACTCCGGAAATTGCCTATCAAAGTTAGCCACTAGTGTATCCAGTGCTTCCAGGTTTTCAATAGTCGCCTAACATTGATCGATTCATGATTTCAATAAAATAATAGTAATTGATCAACGAAAAGTTAACATACCAATTTTAATTCAATATCTGATTCATTTTGAAGAGAATTTAAGAGTGATAAATCTGGAAATTGACCAGTAAAATATATAAACAGTTTCATTATTCTACAAATAAGGTTACACCGTTCATCAAATGAAAAATGATTAACTCCAACAGGTAAACAACAAAAGTCCATTTGTCGTTAATAGTAGGATTGAAACAAGTTATGTTCTAAATACATGATAAGCTAAAAAGCATTAAGAAAATAACGTATCACATAAAGTAAACTTTTAAGGAATACGAACAAAAGATGTGTCTAGTAAACTATGAAGTTATTAAAACATGATCACTGCAATAGCTTTGAAAGCTTCTAAATGAATAGTGCAAACCACCAGTCCACTGTAGCTTTGCATACTAGATTATGAGCGACAAATAATGTGAAGATCAGGTGTTATAAAGAGACGGGGATTTAAACCTATTAATGGGTTTGGCCGACATTGGGGTGGCGCACATTCTTTTTTTCACCAACGTGATAAATCCGACACACGTCATTGAATACAGTAGCAAGACACTGCATAAGTCCGAGACTACTGTGTTAGTAGAAAATAAATGCCAGCCGTTGTATATTTCACAGAGAAATACAGACCATATCTTCTCTGTAGGCGTTTTTTTTAGTACAGACTGGTTGCAAGGCACTTCGGTGACTAATGAAGTGGGAGACGGCACGCTGGCATGACTATCTATGGGAATTCAACTTTGAATGGACTCACCGATCAGGACGCCAGAGTGAAAATCTTGATTCATTGTCTGAAGGTGCTGTTAGACCACATGGAGATCGCCCTTAGTGAAATACACCTAAAATTTGTTATTTTTGGTTGGCGCGGCTGAGTAAAGCGGAGTGAAGACACCTTTAGCTATAAGTGAAGAAACATAGTTATTATATCACGCCGTATGAAACCAGGGACCCACCAGCCCAGCTTAATATTAAGGATAAAAGCTGGGAGGCACGGTGTTTCTGTGGGTTGTGAGGCCAACAAGTTTTAGTTGGTATTTCATTTATGCAGCCACAATCAACTTATGCACAGCGGTTCGCGGCACTACAATCCATGGTTGCATTATTCCTAAAAAACGTTGGTGCAGATCTGAGACATGAACGAAGAAACAAGGTGGTTTAGGCAATAGTATTGATGGCCACGACAACAGCAGGACGTCCGAAGTTACCTTGGAAGTCGTCAGGTTTGTGGTGGGGTAAAGAAGCCCCAGAAGAAACATATGGTACCACTGGTAAATATGAAAGCTTAATTCACCGACTAAGAGCTGGCAGTTGATATAATTGAACCACTATAGGAAACAATAGAAGGAAGTATA